AGAAGGATTTGAACTTGTTGTTTTTTTAAAAAAAATTATATACTAATTAATAAATTAAATATTTAAATATAATTGATATTGATTTAATAATTATTTATTTTAAGTTAACAGTAAATGATACAATTGGTTACAGACTTGATTGAATTAAGCTTTAAATCAATATCAATTCGTTTGAAACGTAAATGTAATAATTTCGAAAGCAAAAAATGGAATTGACAATAATTTCGAAAAATTTAATTTCTCAAGGCCGGCTAAGTTGTTGTGATTTGGTGGGCATTAAACGGGCTTTATGGGAGCAATACCGCTGTCATAAAATTTCCACTTCATTTCAATTTCATCACCTAGGACATGCGTCAATGTACAGACGTCAGTCAACAAGAAACAAACTTAATACTTCGGCAAAGCAAGGTGATTACGTGTCAGTTTTTGAGGCAGGTTACATGGAAAATGTATGGGGCTAGGAGGGATTGAAGCCTCCACCGCCGTACAAGGACAAAACGATAGAGCTCCTATTGCCCAGTGGGTGGCCTTTACTGGACGGGATATTCCCTTTGTGTTTTCTTGGGCGCCACCTCGGAGCTGGCTTCGATTGCTGCGGCTGGAGCTTCAGAAGAAAGCCCTTCCCTCTCGCCCTGTATCTCGGATAATACGGATAAGATTCATAACAAGGCTAGGGGCATATGCAGAATTGCATCAAGCATATACTGGCTTGCTCGGCTTCTGGCTTTGATAGGTGCTTCAATACTCTTCCTTTTCCACTGCCTTATAGGAGTTCTCCTTTCATGCCTTTTCATTTTATTGCAAATGTGAATGTTACGTAGTAATCATATAGGGCATTTCTTTTTATGAAACAAATATATATTCTCACAAGATTTGCATGGTAAGAAAACAGAAATTATCTTATGCATTTGTCACGCTTCCAAGCCAAAACATAATTTAATTTCAAGAATCAAGCATATAATTCTTTGTTACAAATTAAATGATTAAAGAAATTTTAAAATAAAAGTCAACTGAGAATTAAAAGATATTGATAGGGTCCCAAAATAAATGAGTCTCTCAAAGTATGCCATAAAAATGTTGGGTTTGTGCTTCAGAAATTAACAAAAACCACTTGTTCCTATAGAGAGAAGAAAATTGAACCAATTGTAGTGTAACGGGCACGAGTAACGACAGCTGAAGCCACTGATAAAAGCCCATTTCCTATTAGGAAATGCCAAGAAATTTCTACTATCCATCCAATCATGGCTTTTCCAAGCTCATGCAACCAACAAAACTGCATTGGTTTAATCATGAAATTGTGTGAAATGGCAAGGTAATAATGCCTACAATTCAACATCCCATGATTAATATGGTGATGGAACTTTTCCATGGTCGGTTAGGCATAAAAGCGATGAGGACATTTTAACAGAAAAATAAAGGGGGGGTTAGCAGAAATGAGTGTTAGGTATGGAGGGTTCATCAAGCAATCAAAGCCCAGCCAGTTATTTCTCTTAAGTGGTATTTAGTATGTGATTATAGATAATATAATTGTAAGTAATGTAATTGTAAAAAAAATAACATTACAGTATTTAATATACAAGTAAAATAATGATTAAAATGTAAAAAAAAAATATTGTAAGGTTTGATTCATAAGTAATTTGTTGAAAATGTAATTTTAATTTTTAAAATTATCTCTATTTATTAAAATATAAATTTAATATACTTATATTTTTTATTATTAATTTTTATATAGTATCATCTCTTAAATAGATTTTTAATTTCATATAGTTTATTTTCATTTCTTGTCATAATCTTATATATTTTGTTTTCATTTCTTTAATATAATTTTTTATATTATATATTTTATTTTAATTTCTTTTAACTATACTATATAAATTTTTATTTCTTATATTTTATTTTATTTTAATTTCTAAGTCTTATATTATATATTTTATTGTAATATTTTTTATTTTAATTATAAAATTATAAAATATTTTAACAAAGTAATAAAATTGAAAGATAAATATATCTTTAATAACATTATAAAGTGTAATATAATATGATTGCATTAGTTTTAAATTACAATCATATTACATTCCTTAGTTATAATGTGATTACATTGTAATTTTATATTACAGTAATCTATTACAAAATAAATATTATAATATAATTTAATTAGACACTTTACAAAAAATGTATTTTTATTTTTTTTATACTAAACGTTTTCGTATATCGTTTAAACTTCAACCCTCTCTTCTTGGATTTTACAGTAAATGCGGGGACAGGATCCAAGTAGGGTACACTGTCAAATAAATTCTCCTTTTTTTACTTAAACCAAAATTTTGTAGTTAAAGGCATGTAATCAATGGAAATGTTAATGAAGGATCAAATCAAATTTACGCCTTCAATGCTGTAGTGGGAAATAGAATTTGTTTTTGTATGTAGCTGGATGAGCCTGTTATGTTCCCAAAGCAGCCCAGCCCATTCACACTTGTAAAGAAGGGGCGGTACTGGGCAATCAGATGTGGCCCATACACTGTCTGGTAGGGGTGTTCCTTCAAGTTTCATGTCAATGCCAAGGTGGCGGGGGAATCTAAATCTAATAATAGAATTGTTGGTGTTTTTGAGGCAAGCTGAGCCGTGAGTCTCGTTGAAGTTTGAAGTACGTAACCAAAGCATTTTGCACATGAATTTTGTGAGTAAGTCTGAAATCATTGATGATGAGAAATGAAAGTGTCACGGAATGTTCATGATTTTATTGCTTTTCTACCTTCCACATGTCTTTGCTTTGCTCTTTAATCGAGTTTTGGCAATACATATTAATGTGAAGCTGAAAAACTCTTACAGAAGATTTGATATAATTTAGGGTTGAGAAAAAAAAATTGAGAAAATTGAAAATGAATATCAATCGTAATGTTTGATTTGGTTTAAATCGGGTTTTTGTCACATTCGGTTTGATTTCGGTTCAAACATTAACAACATGTGCACATTTCGTTTTTATTTTTGTGAATTTGGTTTACAAGGTAAAATAAAAAGTAGAAATTATCCAAATTGAATTTGTATCTTTTGTTAATACTTATTTTACTTTTTATTTTCATAAAATTAAATATTTTATTATATTTTTAAATTTAAATAAGTTGGTTAAAAAATTAAATAATCAAACCAAACAACCTTTTGAATTTGGTTCAATTTTAGTATTAATTTTATTCGGTTTTGTTTAATTTTTTGAAAAATCAAAATGTGGTTGAAATTTTTTTGTATAACCAAGTCTGATAATATAATTTAAATAATTCAATTAGTATAAAAAGGAATTTATAGCACGTTTCCTTTTATACCCAACTACTGTTTAGTTCTTTTGTTTGGTTATAGCAATTCCTTTATTTTAGCTATTCCTTAAAATTGGGAAAAAGATCTTTTTTAACTACATTTACCTCCTTCCATTGTATTAGCTATCCAATGTTTAATGGAATAGCTTTAAAAGTTATTATGACTAAATTATCTTTTATAAATTTAGAAATTTACAACTTTCGAATATTAATAATTAAATTATAAATAAAATATTAATATTTAAATGATCAATTATTAATATTTTAAATAAATTATAAATTATTAATATTTTTTAAAAAAATAGTTAAATTATAAATAAAATATTAAAAATTTTAAAATATTAATGATTAGATTATAATAAAATATTAATATTTAAATTATCAATTATTAATATAATGATTAAATTATAAATTATTAATATTTAAAAATAAATAATCATAATAATATTTAAATTTTAAATAAAATATTAATACTTTATGATGTTAATGATTAAATTATAAATAAAATATTAATATTTCAATGATCAATTATTAATATTTTAAATAAATTGCAAATTATAAATATTTAAAAAATAAAATAAAATAAAATAAAAACAAACATAATAACATTTGAATTATAATAAAATATTAATATTTTATAATATTAATTGTTAAATTATAAATTAATAATATTATTTAAATTATAAATTATTATTATTTAAAAAATAAAATAAAATAAAATAAAATAAAATAAAAACAATCATAATAACATTTGAATTATAATAAAATATTAATATTTTATAATATTAATTGTTAAATTATAAATTATTACTATTTAAAAATAAAATAAAAATATAATAATATTTAAATTATAATAAAATATTATATTATATAATGCTAATTATTCAATTATAAATAAAATATTAAAATTTAAATTATCAATTATTAATATTTTAAACAAATTATAAATTACTAATATTTAAAAAATAAAAATAAATAATCATATATTTAATAAAAGATATTTTTATCTTTTATTTTTTTCTTATTCTAAAGTTATTTTTATTATTCAAACACTGTAATAAATTATAATAACTATTCTTACTCTATTCTATTCGTTGTATAAAATTACGTAATAACTATTTTATTATTAACTTATTTTATTTTTATAAAATAACTATTGTATTTTATTTCAATTTATTTCACGAACCAAATATGACATTAATGGTGAAATAAGATTGATACATATGCTTAATAGCCATTGTTAAACCAATGTAATAAGAATAATTTGTCTTGCATACATAATTATAAATTTTTAACATTTATCACTTGAGAGAGATTACCTAAAAATATCGAAATTTATGACGGTATTTAATTGAAGGTGATTGACCCAATTGATAAGAAAATAAAACTGAACGCCAAACAAGGATTAACGAGTCCTAGTACTTGGAGAATGGAGCCACTAAAGAAATTTACCTTGTATATTTCTTGTCATCATAAGTCATGGAAACTTGTTTGCATCAGAAATTTAGGTAAAGAACAGACATCAGCACATCCAACCACAAGCGTTAAGCCCACAAAGTCATGTAAAAACAATCAAGGTTTTAATTTTTATTAATTAATTACTAACCATCACTCTATTTGGATTGCCTCCACCAACGTTCCATCCAATGAAATTCAGCCACGTACATAGTTCCCATATACTCGAACTCACCACAGCCAACCCTTCACACTCTCCGGTCTCCCTCTCGCTCCTTCAACAACATAATTCATTTCTCGAAGATCTGCAGAACGAAACTCTCCATCTTTTTCTCTTCAAACAGAAAAAGGAAAAAAAAAAAAGGGTTGTTTTCTCTCTCTCTAAATCAAAGCCATGACCGACCCCATCGAGCCATCAACGTCAACAAGCGACCCGAATCCGACTCGGAGCCCGACCACTCTTCTCCACCCGCGACGCGAGCCTTTCGAGCACGGCCTCCTGCCAATCCAGAAGCTCATATTCACCGACCCGGTCCAAGCCCTAACCCCTCTCAAGCAAAAACTCGCATCATCTTCAACTCACCGAGTCGACTCGGTGACCCTCGCTGGCGCGCTCCAGATCTCAGCGGACCATGCGCGTCTTGTCCTCGACACTGTCGCCTCGGTGCTCCATTCCGAATCCGACCCGCTTGTCACAGCCCGAAGCGACGACGTCGACTCCGTGGGTGCCGATTTGCGTGATCTGATCCTGTTTTTGTATATTCAGTCGTATAAGAGGCTTTTGCCGCGCTCGCACAAGGACTCCGCTGCAGTTGCCGATGTTTGGCCTTCCACGTCAGCATTCGACGGTTACTTGTCGGCCCTTTCGCCTTTGCAGGTAAGGTGTTTGGCCAATTTGCTGTTTATTTTGGTAAAATGTGGTTGAGTTTTTTTAAATTGGATTTCGGGTTGTTGAAAGTTTGGTGGTTCTCGATTCCATTTCAATGTCATTTTATAGAATTGTGTTACATTCATGGCTAATTTTAGGAATGAACTTCTTTGATGCCGGGGGTTGATATAATTCAGGAAAAGTTGAATCTTGATTGACGTTTGGGAAAGAAGGAAACGTATTTCGTTTATACTTTGGCAAATTGAAAGATGGCTCTTAGGATTATATTATTGTTTCTGATAATTGAGACTATGTTTATTGTCCCTCTTGCTACTTGCTTTTTGGTTTTGGAGATACAAAGCGGAAGGTCCTTTCAGATGCAAAGTTAACAGAAATTTTTTTGAAGAATTAAAAGTTTAAGTTTCAACTTTTGCAATACTAAAAATGCATGATTACAATTTTACACAGTACAAATATGTTTAGAGTAAATTTTACATTTTACAATTTCATCATTTTAATAAAAGCGGATTTTCTTTTTGTTTGGAAATTTTTAAGATAGCAGTCACTTGATGTTTTTGCTGCTTGCCTTTTGCTTCCAAAAGCAAAAAGTGCATATGCAGAAACCAACAAAACTTTTTAATATCTAAAAGGGGTAAAATTAAAATGTACTACTGTTTGTGGAAAATAAAATGCATGATTACACCTTTATTTACAAAAATTATGTCATCATCACTGGTGTTGCATTTTAGTTACCTATTCATTTTTAATCAATTTTGAAATTATTTAGTTTTTCTATTTTAATAACATTTACGAAGCAAAAGCTAATAGCAAGAAATAAGCCATAAAAGTAACTACCAAACAATTTATTAGGAAGTGAAAGTAATAACTGAAATGGACTCTAGGTAGACCTGGCAATTTTGCATATGATACGATAACATGACACCAGCACGATATAGAGTTAAGTGGGTTTGGGTTTAGGGTAATTGTGTTTCGTGTCTAATATGTGTCAAGCCTGCTTAACCGTTTAAGACACGTTTAATTATTTGTGTTCTTGTGTATTTGTATAACTTGTAACCCGTTTAATTAATCGTGTAAACATGTCTACCTGACACGTATATGACCCGATTAAACCTCCACATAAATACTTTTTTTTTTTTATTATGCTTGATGATGATGGTGATGGGTTTTATTATGCTTGATGGATATTATTGTTTTGTTATAATTGTTTTTATGATTATTAGTTTTAAATTTGAATAATGAAGTTATATTTCATTTGTAATTCTATGCATCTTAATTTAATTGTGTTAATTGTATTTAAAATTTTAATTGTGTTAATCGTTTAAATGTGATCTAAGTCGTGTCGTGTCGTATAAAATTTATCCCAAGCCGTTTAATAAATGTTTTCAGCGTACCGTGTTACATGTTTAATAAATGTATTTGTGTTTGTGTTTATTTGTATAATTGTTAATACCCTATATTGACACCATATGGTCAAGATATGCAAATATGAATTGATAGGTCTAATTCTAAGTATAAAATTATACTCTTCATTGTGAGTGGTTGTACCATTTGTTACCTTATTTTTTACAATGAATAGAAATTGTATGGCTATGTTTTGAATTGCATGTTTTGGTTGTTCATTTTTTACTCTTCCATATGGCTGCTGCTTTCAGAATGCTGTAAAATATGATTAATGCAGCTGGCTCTCTGTTAGAGGGGAGATTTTAAAATTTTATGATTTGATTTGAGTTGATTTTAGTATCTTAGACAGTATGATTTGCTATCATGGTTTTTATCTCATTGTTTTATCCAGCTAAGTATCTCATTAATATGGATTTCACCAAGCCTGTGAACATTTTTAATAATTATAGTTCTGGCTGCTGTTAGAAAATTAATAGCTGTAGTCTTTTGCTCTAAGGTGAGTTAGACAGTTAGAGTAATCTCAGTGGTTCCTCTTATTGCAGCTTGTTCGCAGCAACAGCCGTCGATTTATGCCATCACAGGCTGATGAAGAGGCCCATCAGCTGTCCTATCTGCAGAAGCATTTAGCAAATATTCTCTCTCTTTTGTCAGAGCCCGTGGAGGGGGAAGGCGAAGAGTCTCTGGTTTGTAACACTGCTTCTTGCTATCTGTAGTTTGATGGAGTGTTCTCTTTCTCAATAAAAGCAAAACTAAGATAATTGAAATATAAGTTAAGAATTTCACCAACTCTTTTTAAAGCTGGTGAATTTTTTTAGTAGTTTAATTATTGATGTTCCTTGTAGTTTGTCTAAGTTGCTGGTTAAAATGTTACTATGAAATGCAGTTTAGTAACTGCAACATGAGATAATGTAGTTCCAAAGGATAAAAAGTGAAAGCACAGAATAATTATTTTAGTCGTTACACGTAGTAGAGCTATTACATTACTGATTCAGAATAGTTATGCGCTGGATGTAAATCCTGCTGTTTATAGAATGTCTTCATGTGGTTTGTATTCTAGTCTCTGAAGTCTTAACCTGCCTTTTCAAATTAGGTAACTGGGTCTGAGGCTTATTGAATTTTTCTTTGTTATGAAATAACGGGGATTGTTAATCTGCACTTTTTCCCTTTCTGTGTTAATTTCTATGGTTTGGGATTGATTTGCATCCAAAAATTGGTTGGATTTAGTGCTAAACCTGGTTTTTTGAAGGAAGGAGAAGTTGGGGGCCTCATTTGCATGATTAAAATATGAAACGAGGGCAGTTCTGTTTAAAACAGGACAAAACAACTCCTTGCCAGCTTTTCAGGGATTAATCAGTGATTCTGAGCTGAATTTTTCCTTGTAAAATGTTCAGAATAGAAATTGGAGTTTCTCTGAATCTTTCTCTTCCTATTTTCTTTACCTTTCGAACATGCATTACTTTCCTTCTGCCCCATCTTTGTTATCATGTTTTGATTTGTCCTATTCTCTCTGTCCTTCTGCTATTTTATCAGCCACTCTGTCGTAATGCCCTTACTATGTATTTGTTATTGGTCTTTCTCATTGTTGCATATTTTGCTACATTTCTGTTTGTGTTTATTATTAGCTTCTACAGCTTGGTTTTAATTTGCTCATGCAAGTATTGTTCCTTCAGGTTTTGACCATGGAAGGATTTGAGCACCTTGGGTTTCTGATTCAATTTGGCGATAAGGGATCTGATGGAGTTCCTTTAAGCCAAGCTGCTCCATTTTTTGCTAATTCAGATCCAGACATGCCTGCTGTTCCTGTTCCAGCGGCACAAGTTCATGATTGGCTTCTACAGAATATAGCTTCTTCTTTGGAGCATGTTACTGAAAAAATTTCTGCAAAGGAAAATGGACCTCCAAGTGGTTCTGATCAGGATGTTGCTATGGCTGATGCTAGTCCAAGTTCAGTCAAAGCCTCACCAAGTGCTAGGGGTCCATGTTTCATTGAGGGGGTCTCTAAATCATCATACGTAAAGCAGGCATCTGATCTTAAAAATTCTTCTCTGAAGGTTAGCTTATATTTGCATTGTGATTTATTGCAACCTGAAATTTTCCTTGGGGTATTGGCTGTGTAGTGTTTTTATTGATTCTCATTTCTATGCAACATGTGACATACCCCCCGAAGGTACTTGTGGACTGGATTTTTATTTTGTTCTCCAATTTGTGTAATTTGAATGCTGTCTTGAGGAATAAAGAAAGGGAAACTCAAATCAGGTTATATTGCAACCACCATATGGATATGAAGATGGATGTCTATTGGGTGCATTTTTTATGGATGAGATGAGATTAAGATGCCAGTTCAGGTGGCGCTATATTTACTGTTGTGTTGCTTATCAACAGATAATGAGAAGAATGAGATGAGAAGAATGCACAAAAGGTGCTAGGGTTGGCAAATGTAAATGATCTGGTTCCTTGTGCTACTAATGCTTTATTCATGGAATAATGTACAGCATATGAAGTAAAAAAGGGTGATTAAAATGTTGCAAGGCTTGAGGGGCTGTCCTATGCGAGACAACTTAGTTACTTGAAACAAGATAGTTGAGGAGTGGTGCAATTAGTCCTGCCTTGTTTTAGTGTCAGGAATCTCAGGACTATTTCATATTTGCTAAAATTTCAAGCTTCTATGATAAATTCTTCCTAGATTGTTCGGGGTTTCTGTATGTCACTCATGTTGTTAAACCTTGTTTTAGATATTAACTGCTGCAGTTCTTTGATGCCAGGCACTGACTGCAGTCGGTTGAAAGTTGTACTGTTTTTGGTTGAAAAATTTGTAATTTTATGTAAAGAACCGTCACTTGCTGGAGGCTAAAAGCTTTTCTCCCTTGAGGCACCAACTTTTTTCTGAATAGAAAATGCTTATAACAACTTTCTCCTGATGCAAAATATGAAACTGCTGCTTGCTCAATCAGTCTCATATTTGTCAAAAATCCTTTAACCATCTTCCTCTAGAATGTGAAGTGTGAATTTTGACTTGCTATGGGCCAGAACCTTGTTTTCTTCTGGAAAATGGTCTTTTGTTTTCATCCTTGTCTTCTTAATTACAATGTCACCAATGTCATTATCATCCTCATCTTATTATTGATTAAACGCTGCAAGTAACACAGTTCCAATCAACTGTGTTTTAATTAAAGTTGGTCTTCTACCCAATTAGTTGTCGAATGCTTAGCTTCCAAAACATTGTGATAATTGGGAGTTCGTGGATTTGACTTGGGACCATCTACTTTGTGGAAAGGTGTAGATAATAATTTGGTTATGCCAACAACTGTATTTAATTATTGATTATTATTTGATGTTTATGTACTTTGTGTCTCATAAAGCACCTCTAACTTTGTATGAGTTTATAATTTCAGGTCATTAATTGCCATGATTCAGTCATTTACATTTTAGCACCTTTGAGATATGCCACCATTTATGGATGCTCTGATGCTACTATAGTTCTTGGAGCCGTTGGGAAGGTATCATTGCCTTTGTGCTGTCAACTATATGTGTTATACTAATTTTGGAGTCACTGGAAACATTTTCTGCTATTATAATGTTGAATATTGGAGACACAGTTGATTTCCTCTTTTTAATTAATTATTGGTGTTTGGAATTGCTGAAAACATTTTGTCTGGTGGCTTGAACTGAAACTCTGGAAACAGATTTGTTTTGATATCTACATGTTAGTTAGAACATGAGCAAATGAACAATGTACTCCTTAATTCACTATTCTACTGACTAGAAAACGTCCATTAACATTAAAGAAGTTACTTAATTGTTTCTTCGTCATCAAATGCACTCAATTGAATGGTGATTGAGCATCCACTATTTGATTTCTTATGTTCTAAGTTTTATGGTATGGCTACTTGTTTTATCTTTCCATTAATCTGCTTAGCATCTGCCAATAATCTATGAATTTTTCATGGTTGAATGTCTTTGGGCATAATTTAAAGACATTAATATTCTGTGTTTGAAATTTTCATCTAATATAGTTGGTCTGTCTGTTTTATTTTGAATACGTATGTAACAAAGGTTGCAGAATTTGTAGAAGAACAGCACCTTTTCATCTTGGCTCCATTTCATAACTATTCCAAAATTGCTATAAAAAGAATTTGTGTAAACTGAAATATGGCCATGCACATGCTTGTAATCAATTTCTGTTATAGATCACATGAATTATGGTGTCACTTGATCTCTACTCCTATTTACAATTGTTGTAGCTGTTATTTTCTTACTAAGATTGTAAAGTTTATAATGGATGCTTTTCTTGTCCTACATGATGAGTTCCTTTGTCATCTTTGTATAAGTCCTTTACTAAATCGTGATGCTGGTTCTAATTGTTGTTTCCTCTCTAATATTCTTTACTTGTTTATGATAATTCTTCTCTGATGCTAATATTTTATATGTTTCCCCAGCTCCTCTCTCTCTCTTTCTCTCTCTCTGTGCCCATATATTTTGTAAACGATCAATCTGATGTTTACACCTCTTAACTATTAACCTGTTTCTAGTTTAAGTAATGCAATGTTCTTAAATTCATGGATGAATATAATATGAGTTTTTTTTGTCATTATAGGCAGTACGAGTTGAACACTGTGAACGAGTTCATGTAATTATAGCGGCAAAACGAGTCTGCATTGCCAATTGTCGTGAGTGTGTATTCTTTTTGGGAGTGAACCAGCGACCCCTCATTGTTGGTGATAACCACAAGCTGCAGGTGAGTAAACTACTATTGACTGTTGTGAATGCAATGAGAATTTGATTGCCGTCATGCTTGAGTTTTTGAGATGTAATTTTGCTGATTAAATTTATTTCATTTTTCAAATGCCAAAAGTGTTACTTGATGGTTAAAACTTTGTCCAAAATGGGAAATTAGGGATGCCACAGAAGTTATATGCAATGTTGCTGCTGCATGTTTATTTGGTGGAATTAGCTTGTTGAACGTTTAAATTCATGAAGGACTAAACTAACAAAAGTGATTGACATCGATTTTAAAAAATAAAGAAAAAGCTGACATGGAACAATTAATTCATGAAGGACACTATTTCCATGTAAACTCCAACTTGATCTAGTTTTGAAAATTAGATAATTAACGGAGGAAAAAAATATAATTAGTAAAAATGAACATTTATTGTCTTCTTTTGATCCAGGGAGATGGGTCCCTCTCTCTCTCTCTCTGCCTCTCGTAGGTCCTTCTTTGTCCTTTTAACTTTGGCTAAGTCGGCCAAACTCACCAGAGGTTGGCATTTCAATATGAGCAGGCCTGCTATGACTAGAGCCAATACAGCACTAGCCACCAGGCTGCCAGCCTCTCTTTTTCTGTTTTCCTTCTCTTTCTTCTCGCTGGTATCCTATCTCTGCTTTATCTCACCAAATCTGAACCCACTTATACTAAATTTCTTCAAAACCTCAATTTCTTTTAACATGTCCAAGACTTAGACCTTAGCTGATTTGACAACTTGGACTGTAGTTGTATTTTTGTTAAAATTTTGTTGGTTTAGGCTGATCTATGTATGTTCATGCTTGGAACTACTCATGTTTTGATGAACTGGATTCTGTTCATGTATGGGGGTTATTATTCTGCTAAAAGCATGATTTTTGGTTGATAGTACTGGGGATTTTCTAGGATGGTTTCTTCCTTGAAGTTAGTTGAAATTAGAAGGGTTTTGTCTGGTGGGTTTCTCTACTGTAGGTGAAGAGATTTGGCTGTTTGCTGAATAAGTAAAATCCAAAGCAGACTTATGCACAACCAACAATCTAAAAGTAGAATAACAGAGAAGCTACACATTGTAGGAATTCTAGTGAAATTTAATATGAAATCTGAAATTTGATTGCCAGGCTGCAAAAATCAAAGTCTCTAAATGTCAATTGTCAAAAGTTGCCCTCATTAGTTTGAGACTAACGTATATATATTTTATACAAGCTTCACTAAACCCTAAGCCCACATAAAAAGAAATCCAAATAGAATGAAATAAATCCATATGAGAAACTTTCTCTTAACTTAAATTTCTGTCTAAGATAAGTCTGCCTCCAAAAATTGGTCAACGATTTTCCATGAACAACTACTAGTTATATAATTAGCTACGCTTGAGTTTTTCTCGAGACGGGACACTGGATGCTTCCTGAGATTTTTTGTCTTAACCAGGGGGTTTTTTCTTGAAGAGCTGCTGCATGACTCATCTTGTTTTATGCCTTGCGAGATGGCTCTGCCTTTTTGTGGTCTGATTTGTGTGATATGCTGTCAGCTGTGTTGATGTTTTGATGTCAATATGCAACACATTGAATCTGGGGATATGTCCTGCATGAATTGGCTGCATTTTTACCAAAATGTGGTAATTTTTGTACACTTTATGAATTAATGAAATCAACTTTAATGCCTTTCAAAAAAAAAAAAAAACTAAGGCCAACCTGATAAAATAACACAAGTTATTTTAATGGCCTTATTTATTTGTGGTATTTATAAGAAGAGAACAAAAGAGGAAGGGTGTTGGCGTGTTGGGATGATTTACTAGATTGCAGTTGAGAGGTGAAAGATGTGTAAAGGTCATTGCTGGTTGGTGCTGTGGCTGATGGGTGGAAGAGAGAATTTTTCTTATGTTCTTTGTTCTGTTTTGTATTTGTTTTTTTCTCTTCCTTTATGTCTTTTTTTGAGAGCTGATTTTCTTCAAAGAAAGCTGCTTCCATTATCATTTTCAACACTCAGGTAGACTGACAGTTTTGGAACTTCTTTTCGTAAATTTCATCAGGTGGCACCGTATAACACATTCTACTCTCAGTTGGAGGAGCATATGACTGAAGTTGGCATTGAGTCAACTATCAATAGATGGGATGCACCTTTGGCGCTTGGGGTGATTGATCCACATGATTCATTATCTCATCCCGCGGGTGTTTCTGATGCTCAAGCTGAGTCAGCTACACGCCTAGATCCTGATCAGTTTACAAATTTTCTGGTATGCTCTTGTGTATTTCTTAGCATAGCTTGGGGTAGTTTGACGACATTTCTTTTCTTTCCTTTTTAATAGTTTGGTCTTGTTCATACATGACATATGCATTTCTTTTATTACACAGATTCCAAACTGGTTTGAAGGTGAATCCACTGGGTCAACAAAGGATAACCCATTCCCCTTGCCTGATACGTACTTGACATCTCAACAGAGAAATGTAAATGCACTTAGCCCACCTGTCGATGGCAAACTTTGATTTTGTAGTTTGAGTTGTCTTCTTATCTGCATACAAGAAGCAATGCTGTGGAATTAGTGATTGGTTTTATTGATCTTTCTAATATTAAATTAACTGATTTTATTTTCTTTCTAAATGTCCTCGCCAGCAAAAGAATTTAGGTGAGATAAAGCAAATTTTGAGAGAAGCTCCCCTTGAAGAAAATCGAAAAAGAGAATTATCATGTGCTCTTCATGTATACTTCAAGGACTGGTTATATGGTAATCATCTTGTCAATCTTATTTGTTAAGTACATTTTTTTATATCCGTATGCGGTGGTTTTTATTATTGTTTTAGGTATATTCAAGGTTGTAGTTGTTCTATTTTTGTACTTTCTTAGTCCTGAGTTCTTTTGATGATATAGGATGCTACATGTTAAAGATTATATGGTCCTTTCTTACTTGAAAATTCAAAATTAAAAATGGATTCTGGTGACTGAAGATTGTATTTTATAAATTAACAATGGTTAAATTTCTGTTGATTCTTTAGTGTATTCTGATACATTCTAATCCATTCTCTCCATTTGATTTCTGATGATTTTACCCTTATTAAGTTTTCTTTTTCCTTTATGAATTTTTAAGTGAAGCTGAGGGCTGGATATGTCTAGGTTAGGAGATCAACTGATTGGCTGAATTCAATTGTTAACTTTCTGGATGGGGTCTATGCTTTTTAAAGAGTTTACAACCTCTAACCATCTTAGTTGGTGTTGTTGAACTTTATATCATGTGGAATGAACTTAAAAGATTTTTTAGATTTCTCACTGTTTGTCCGGAATTGGTTTGGGTCTTTTATGTTGCTTAACATGAAGATGAAGCTGTTTTACTATCCAGAATTTAGTAAATGAGCTATATATAGGGCTATAAGAGGTGTTTACTGAATTTTATTTTCTGTAATAATATGACAGCTTCTGGAAATATCCGTCAGCTCTACTGCCTACAGGGTGACTGATATCTCACAGTTATGCCTCATCATTAGACGAGGTATAGAAGGATGCTTTATGGTTTTGTTTCAGTTTCAATCAACCCCTTTGCCAGTTCCTCAGGTCATATCTGTGGGTACTACAGGCTGTTGAGAATCATCCTTGTAATTTGGAACGGCATAAAAATTTTATGGATTGGCTCTTGTGCACAGAATGCGAATTAGAAATACATTTGCTAGTCTCAATGTAATATTTTTTGGATGAAAAGGAAAATAATCTTACTGTAATATTTCTTAACCTAGGTCTGCAGTCTTATGAATTTTTGCATCCCCTTGATCTAGCCATGTGAATTTTAATACTGAATCTCTTTTTATCCAAGTTTTTCTTCACTTCCCATTTCTTTTGAGTTTGTTTATGTTATAAAAGAGCCTGCTGATAGCAAGTTTGACGATTAAGATAAGTAGGTTTTACAAGTTTATGAGGATGATTAGTAGCAGAGTGACATTTGAAGGTAAAAAGAGAGAGACTGTAGTTTTATACCTTTTCTTCTGGCTATAAAACTGTGTCCCAGCTCTGGTGGTCCATTAGATATGGTTGATTACAGTTCAAAGGGTGACCTTCCTTTCTGCTTCATTGAAAGTTGGTCATGGTCCTGGCTATCAAATGTCATAGCTAGATTGGATGTGGATTACTTATATTATCCCAAAAATTAAAAAACATATCAGCAAGATGTGAGGAAATGTAATTGTAATAATCTCCGGTTGCCAAATGCCTACAATTTATATCAACACGGGACTTTTGCAGAGTTGTAGAAGCTGATGTGATGTAATGTTTAATTCCTTAGCACAAACCTCAGCAAGCTCATCCTTCTTGTTGTATAAATCCGGAACATGCAGTTGATGTCGACTTCATTTTAAGAATTTTGTTTGAGCACCGTATAGCATCTCTTACGCATAGAATTTAACAAGATAGGCAATGTTGTTAATGCCAAAATTCGTTTCCCTTTTATAAAACGGGATTTTCTCTTCTTCGTGTCTCAATGAATCTCTCTTATTCTGCTCCTGGCTAACAAGTTACATGACCCTAGCTATACAAATTGTTTCATCATTCCCTTCGCTAGGATTCATGTTGGCGTTGGCAACATAGAAACTACAAAAATTTTGGGTTCCTCGACAAGCTAGGCCTAGCTTGCAGGAAACATCTGAAGTAGCTTCTCTGCTTGATCCGGAAACAGGGTTATGAACAGAAATGCGCCTGCGCAATTCATCAAGTTAAAAAAAGGAAGGTAGAGTTGGAACTACTTCCAGAAAAAAAATTTTGATGAAAGTTGACTCGCTTACAGATGAGCACAGTGCCAAGCACAGCTGAGATCTTGCCTTGAATTGTCACCAAACCAGCTTTGCCAGCGTCTTGCAACTCTTTAGAACCTACAGAATCAAATGTACCTGCAAAACAAGAACTACTTCACTCTCTTGTCTTTGCATACATAGAGAGCTGCTCTTAAGGAAAACAGGCAACTGATGCTTAACCTGGTTTTACGGTTTGAAGTCCTGATGTTATACAAGCTACATTCTGGAAACCAGCTTGGTCCAATTTATTGGCAGCAGCAGTAGACCTTGACATCAAGAAGGAAGCAGAATTCTTTCAAATGGTTATGGCAAATATAACCGGATATGTATCAAGTGATCAGGGAGTGGAAATAAATACAGACCATTCATCAGTTGATATCCAATTGATTTACCAGTAGATTCAATGCAGAATAGCCTTATCACTAACAAGAACAACATCAACCTATTCTGGAAAAGGATTGGATGCATACTATGAAATCAGATTACGCGTCTAACATTTCTACTATAACAAATCTAGAGATTTCACACACCCCATTTCTCTGACTATAGATAAATTATTAGTTCCTCTATACCAACTAGTTCCATGTTATGTGTCTGATATATTTATAATCTTATGGAAACCAGATGCTAAGACAAGACAAAGTTCATGAATCAAGGTTCAGGGTTTGGATTTGTTCCCCCATTATTTACAGAAATGGTAAGATTGATAGGTTAATTTCTTCAGTCAGCTGTGTGAAAACATTAAACTGAGCAATTCTGTTCTGTTATTACTTGCTTTAAAGTGTCCTACAAACTTTATAATGTCACTTCTGTGCCAAAACGAATCTTCAGTAAGAATTTTCTAGTCCATTGCTTATTGGATGTTCTGATCACCTAAATGAACACAGTAGTCAAATCAAACCATCCAGAGGATATTAAAACCTAACCTTAGCCCCTCCTGGCATACAAGTAGCAATTTACTATCGGGTGAAAACTGGCTTTTCACAGATTGTACAAAATGAGGATTGGGTTTTGTAAATGGCAACCCAAAGAATAAACCTGAAAAATTATTGTGCAAAGTCCTCTTTATTATTGTGCCTGCACAAACAAAACAAAACGAAAAATCAATATGAGTTAATTATAATTTCATAATCACTGTATGCTGTTATGTAATGATCTTTAGAGGGAGACAAATATGAAAAAAAAAATGAGCTGAATTTAGAAGAAGAAATGAAGATAGAAAGGATTGACCAGGGTCATTGTCTTGGTTTTCAATGAAAAGAGGCACATGATAACATGATTTGATATGAGCTCGATCAAACTGAGATTTATCACGGACGTCAAGAACTGCATAACCCTCGAGTGCTATAAGCCTTTTTGCTTCTTCAGCATTCACAAAATTCACTTCCGCTCTAATGCTTAAATTTCTTCGCCGAGCAGGAATCCCTGAGATGGCTCTTCCATGGTGAGTCTTTAATTCCAACCAACTTCTCCTGGAATTGCTGAAAAACACATCTTAATTCATTATTTCCCTGTTCATAGCTTTTGATTTCAATTTCTACACTAGTTGTCTGTCATATCTAAACCATATAACTGCAGATTTATGAACTGTTGCAAATCAAACAGCATTTAACCGATTCAAAAGGCTATGAAACAAAGAAAAGAATGTGTGTGTTTTCGTGCTACTTACTGGCAGCAATCTTTACTATTTGCTTTTGCCAAATGCTAATGAGTGTCTTAAACATGCTCAGTAAAGATCATACATACTGTGTTCTTCAAAAACTTATCTTTTTACAATCCCAGAATATTTCATTCAAAGGAGAGAAAACCAGTCAGAATAAAACAACCATATATAGCAGCACGAAAGCTCAATATATATCACCACTGAGAAGCCCTTCTTCCCACTATTGTGCCGGTAAGCAAACACCCTAAAACCAGAAATTAACTCCTGAATTAAGCATTAAAATATAAAGCTTTCTACTCATCTTCTTGAGTTTAACCAGGAAAGTTTAAAACTTCAAAGAAAGACGAAACTTTTACTGCTAACCTTGTACAAGAAAGCGTTGAATAACCAGCACCAGCAATCCCAGCCATTGAAAGAATTCTCTAATTGTTCGTTGCTGCTCTCTCTCTCTCAGCAGAGTGATTAACAGGAACGTTCGGGATAGCCACGAGATTGGCCCAAGAAATTTGGAAGGTGCAATGGGTTGCTGCCACGTGTTTATGAAAATCGGATATGCTATATTTCAGGAACCTTTGAGCTTTGGGGATTCTCACTCTCCTGTCCGATTATACTAGTTTAATTTTACAATGACAGCAAGAAATCTTTAACTCCATCAACAAACCCATTAAAAAAAAGGAAAGAAAAACTGGGCATCAATAGTGAATTTTTTCTTTTTAATTTGATTTGTTGTAGAAAATGAGTACTATGAATTTGCCAAATAGTCTTTCCATTATAATTACGGAAATCTAAAATGGTTTTTACCAATTACTGATATTAAATAGTCTTGACGACAAAGCTTCAAAGTAGAAACATGCACAATTTTCTTTTTTGATTTGCCGTATGATTAAGGTTAAATGCTCATTTTAAAATTTAATATTTGTTTAATTTTTTATTTCAAGATTCCATTTCTTGCTCGGTTCAAACTAGAACCTAAACTTTTCATTTTATTCATTAAAGAAAAATTGATGATAAAAATGACTAAAAATAAGAATTCAAATCTATGTTTGTCTATTAACTGAATTTGCTTACTTTTGCCATTGATTTTTTTAAAATATATAAAATTTAAAAAAACTACGTTTTACTTTGAAAATGAAAATTTTGATAAATATTTTAAAATAAACATTTAACTTTTAACTTATTTACCTATTAACAGCAAAAAAAACAGATTAAATAAGATTTTAAAAAGCTCTTAAAAAATAATTTTTAAAAAAATAAAATTATTTTTTTAAAAAAAATATGTTAATTTTTCAAAAAATATCTCTCTTTCAATAAATCACTCTTTTTCAAGATAAATCGTAATCTCTCTCTTTTCTACATTTTTTTCTACAACTATTACTCGAAAATAAAAAACTTATCAACATAATAACAAAATTTGAATTTTTTTACTTTTACAAAAATTAAAAAAAAATTAAAATTCAAAACCGCGTTCAAATATTATATAAAGATTTTCTCATTTTCATAATGTCAAATACATCGTTTTTTAATATCAAATACATCCTTTCTTATTTTCTCTTCTTTCTTGATAAATTGAAACATAATTTAATGGCTTGCTAGATCAATAAAAATTTAATACTATTGCTATTATATAAAATTTGAAAACTATTCTGTTTTTTGTATAGATTTTTTTTATTTTAATATCTAAAATCATATATAAACTTGAAGTAAATTTGTTCTATTTTTGTTTATTAAGTTATTGAATAATTTTAATTCAAATTAAAATTTATATAATTTATTTTATCAAATAATTTTAATTTAATTTTAAAAATTTTTATTTTTTATAAAAATTTTATAAGGCATTTTATGACTAGATGGAATAGTCAAACACCATGTGACAACAAAAATCACCTAAGTTGAAATATTTGAGATAAAAATTATTTGCGAAGAATGATTAAAGATTTTGTGGTTGAAGAACCTTGAAATTAGACAATAAAACTTGTCTTAGTTTAGACCATTAACTTGCATATCAAATCATTATAAATATTCTTTTGATTTGATGATGAAATCAAATCAAATGAAATCATTAGTTTAGTACCCTTTTCTTTTGATCTATCTAAATGTTCTTATTGTTTTGATGATGCAAATTTTCAACAGTTGACATAGAAAATTTTAACTCAAATATCTCACGGCATAATTTCTTGTGTCAGTTTACATACTTGTCATCAGTCGTCATCCACAGTATTTACTTGAAGACGTGTATATGTTACGCAATAGCGATACGCAACCAACACATGCATTGACTAATGAGCAACATTGGACAAAACGCATGGACTTAAAACGAAGAAATGGGTTCTAAAATCTATTAGCTGCTGTGTTTTCCATTTACCTGCATCATTTCAGTGAGGGGACGCATGGGATTCTTTTCATCCGTCTGCTGTTGCTTCCGCCGACCTTCTCGTGTATCCGGCGATGGACAAGTAGCGGCGAGGAATCAGCCCCTGAGGCCTAACTCCGTCGAAACAGACTCCTCCCCAAGACGGATTCTTGTTCCACACTTCCCCGTGACTCCAAATCTCTCCCGTTTATGATATTTGATTTATTTTTATTGGAGAGAGGTGACAGGTTTATCGGTGAAGGCAGCTGATGCTTGATGGATGCTTTGCTAGGTTTTGCACTCTTTGATCAGCCAAGAAATATGTACTATGCTGCTACAGCTGCTGCTGCTGCTGCAGCATGAGAGTTAAATACCATGTCAAATAAGTCGAACTGGTTTAATCTACCCTGCCTTGATCTTGGAAATAGAACGTGTAACTTTGTGTACTTAAATTCCTGTTGTTCTTCATTATGGTTGACCTATCTTGAAGTTCTTCATTTGATTATTAATACAAACCCTTTTCCATCCTGCTAGAAATATGTAATATGCTGCTGCTTAAGAGAGCTAAATCTCATTTCCTTGGATTTCGCATTTTTGCTGTTAGAGCTAACGCTATCACCGTGTAAACATTCTTTGTAAGAAAATTCCATTGATTTCACTAACACCAAATATTGCTCTAAAATTCTGAAACAAGTTTTCCTCTCAAACTTGCTTCTTCATTTCATTAATACTCATCATAAGTTTAGACGGGGCAGGGACCAGAGGTTTGATGGATGCAACAGCCGTAAAGTAATAGTTGTCCTGTAATGTTCCATAAATTCCTATGCTGAAAGAAATTCAATCTCTTCTTCCAAGTAGTCAAGTTTGCAAATTGAGAGAAACTCCGAAATTCAGAGAGAGAGAGCACCATTCACCGCATTCTTGTCCCCATACAAAAGCAAAAGTCATTAAATATCCCAAATTCATTAAGTTCAGAAACTGTCATCTATACCATGATTTTGATAAATAACGAGGCATTTCTTATTCAAATGAACATTCTCACTCCAAATGTAAAACAGGAAAAAAGGAAACTGAGAGTATGATTACATCTCCAAAACAAAGACATATATCCAGTTCAGCGGAGTGATTGATTGTCTCACATTGAGTTGGAGGTGGCTTCTCAACAGCTACATGCCAGATTTATGAATCAGCAGTAGGTCTTTTCTTGGTGGTGTAAGGGTAATACTCTTTCCCTGTGTCTATTCTTGTTGTCTGACCTCCAGCATCAATCACGGCAGAGGTGACTGCCAGTGCTGTCCCAGCAGCAATAGCTGTTGAGATGCTCCTCCCTGGAAATTGGAAAGCACGTCAATATAGTTGTTGAAAATTAACAAGTGGACAACACTGATAAACTTTGACATGTATCCAAAAACCAAGTTAGAACGCAATAACCTGCATCGAACATTCATAGTCCCTCTTTTTCTTCTTAAAAGCACAAAAAACTTATGAAAAGCCCTCTGTCCAAAAAAAAAAAAATACCTTCACACAACCCTCTACCTCAAAAAAACCAAAAAAATCAGACCCCTTCCCTTCCTCTGCCCTCCAGTCAAGGATTTCATGACAACATATTTCAGCTCAATCCTATTGTCAAGTCACTGCAGAGTTTACAGACAGTTCTTAAAACAGATGCAACAGCCTACTCAAGCAAGAATCTAAAAGTATGTATCATGAATTTCAGAAAGGATAATTTCCAAAACCTTGACATAAGAAAGTTAGGCAAAATCAAAAGTAATTGACTTTGAAATTCACATGATGTAGAACTCCTACCAGTTTACATATAACTACTAAACAAACATTATTAAGGGAAAACTCAAGAAGACAAAGAAAACAATCCAAAGCAATAATGATGTATATGAGGATAAACTTTAGCACCATTGTTTGGATGGTGGTATAGCTCCTAAGAAAACCACAAGCTTGTAAACTTTGAAGAGGTAAAGCTTTCCTCACAAAAATAAAGCTATTATCCTATTAATGATGACCTATATGCATACAGATCAGAATTTTTCAGGCAAAAGGGGAAGTCAAATATCTCAGTGTCTTGTGCAATTTTCTAAACATTATTATTTCACAAAGGAATATCCAAGCTATGTCCATTGTCACAAATTGTTACTTTAAAAAAGTAATAAATCAGATAGCAATTATGAAAGTGCACAAAAACTCTAGCCATCTAAATAGGTCTTTTACCTTTGAAACCGAGAATGGAAGCCCCAGCAACGAAACCCCCAACAGCACCATTAACAAAGTCTCTCTTCATCCTATAATTCTGCAACAGTTGCTCCACACCAATGTATACTCCCCCAATTGCTGCAAATGTTATTCCGTGATTGCCCATCATCTTCAGTGTCCTTACAAGCCCTGGAAGAGCAACACTTCTCTCAACACGAGGCACATCATACCAAGTAGCAACTACAGTCCCCCAGATAGTGCCAGCAACCAAACCAGTAGTGGCACCCTTGATTGTTTTCATTGTTGGAGTGTCGTCATCCTCATAATACCTAAGATCTGAAGGGTCCATTGCTACCTTCTAGCTGCATACCAACGCATATCACCCAAAAAAGAAAAAAAAATTTCAGAAACACGTTCAGCCCCAATACTTGTATCTAGCATATCTTCTACTGAAAATATAGATGACCCTGGAGACCAACCCAGCCTTGGGCTACAAAACTTTCATAGTTTTCTCCATCCAATAAACCCCATCCTGCTTCCCAAGATTCAAACATGATAACCGAAGACTTCTGCGGTACCACAACTATATCCTCCAAAACAAATTAGAATAGAAAATGGGTCTTTTACTTGTACCAAAAAATTTGCCAATTCAATGCAAAAAGTACAAAGCCATAGCTGTTATCGCTTCACAGGGATATAGCAAAGCCCTTACAACTTAGACAAAACACATCAATATACAAGGTTTGGAGATATTTCTTTCTTCTTTTTCTAGAGAAAATGTTTTGATAGGTTTCAAATAAAGGGGAGAGGGGCAATGAACCAAACATTTTTCAGTTTAGTTTTAGATTTATCAGGCGCAATAATAACTACCGCCCAGCTGCTAACAAAACAATGCCTGAGCAACAAATTAAGACAGTTTTTAATTAATTTCGAGAATGAGAAAATGAAAATTTCAAATGTTAACTGCATTAACGCCTAAATCAAAGTGCTAAAAATTTAAAAAGAAAAAAAAAAGAGAAAGGAATTGGGAGCAGATCAAATCGAGCAAACAAAAGGATTAAATTAGATTTAAGAAAAGCAATCCCTAAACTATATGCAGCAGATTTAAGACATATTCGAATAGATTAAAAGGACATATAATTCAATGGAAGAAATATTTTTAATTAAAAAAATAAAGAGGAGAAAATTACCTTACTGACGAAAATGGAGAAGACGACGTGAGAGACTGTGGGAGTTCAGCAGAGAAATGTTTTCGACAAATTCATTTGCTCCTCGATGATCCGCCACTTCATGCTAGTATTATTATGAATTCTCCATTTTACCCTCAATCTTTCTCTTATTTCCCGATGAGTCATCGTTTGGTCTTTTGGTCAAGGTAATGTTTATTATTATTATTATTATTATTATTATTATTATTATTGTCATTACTTAAATATAATATTTTCTTATTAATTTTTTTTGGTGATTTTAGTTTTACTTTTGCATACAAATACCATTTTCCTTTTTGAAAACGCATACAAATACAATTGGAGTAAGTGGGGGAAAGGGTGAAAAAAAAGTTTTTTTTTAATAATATCATATGGTCAGTAAATTACTTTGTTTTAAGTTTTTATATTTTATTTTCTTGTATAATGGAGAATATTAAATAGTTTGCACATAAAAAAAGGTTATAAAAAATTCAAATTTTTGATGTATCATGATATTCATAATTATATATTAAAAAAAATCTTAAAATTGGTTAAATTCTTTTAAAATAGTATTACTTCTGTCACTTGATTTATATATCATTAGCTTTCTTAATACAAAGGAGAGGTACCAAAAGGGAGTAGAAATTCGAATTTAGGCCTCAAAATTTCGTAAAGAGAATAAGAATCTTTTAAGTTATATACGGATTATAATTATTTTTTTAATTTTTGACTATTAGTTTTTATTTCTTACCAAGACTAAATGAAAAGTAAAATGATGAAAAGAAAACCATATGTTTAATTGAAATAAAATAATTACTAATGTAAAAGGCATTCAACTATAACTTTTGATGGAAACAAAAGTCTTATATTTCATAATAAAAAAAGTTTAATTTTTTTCTAATTATTAAATGTTACATGCTTTTAAGTCCAAATATATACATATATATATAGATTAATTTTCAAAAGTTAAAAGAAAATAGTGAAAGAACGATTTTTATTTTAATTATTTTCTTTATAAAAATAATTTTAAATTATTTCCTAAAGTTTGTTTTCCATTGAAAACTGTTTTACATTTTCTTAAAAGTACATTTGACCTCCGCCACAGACAGAAAAAAACAAAGGAGAGGATTGTAGAGCCTTTTAAACGGACGCTGCATTTAACCCGACCCGTTACAGTCGTCATTACCAACACCAAGGCATCCCAAGAGAAGCCGTTTACTCAGCTGCCAACTTTCTCTCGAAATCTCAACCTTCCGATTGCTTATTCTCCCGAGAAAACACTTTCTCGGAAAAGAAAAATGCAAACGCCGGAGGACATCCGTAATCTCCCAATCGACATAACATTTTCTCGTCTTGGAGGTAAAGCACTAAAATATCATCTCAGTAAATCTCAAACAATATTCAATTTCTCTTCTGCAAAGCTTTGATAAAAATTACACTCGAAAATTGTTTTAACGATTGTTCTCTTTTCGTTTTACTGAAGAATGGTTGGTTGATCGCAAGAGAGTACCGTCGGATTGGAGAAAGAGACTAGCGGCGATACGATCGAAGATATCGAAGGAGTTCACGGCCTTGCCTAAGGATATTGATCCCTATTTTCAGACCCTTGGCCCTGAAGGTCAGTTATTTTTTTGTTTTGTTTCAAAAAATCTATTCTACGTAGTTTTGTAGACATATTTCAGTAGGTGGTTGCAGATTGTCCTTACAATTAATTTTTATTAGAATTTCATTTTATGTGATTTTAGTTGTTGTTTTTGTTGATGAGAAGAAAATTGATGGAACCACTGTTTGGTTGTAAATAGTAAGCGGAAATTTACAATAGTTTTGCTCAAGTAGCTGAGGTTCTGTTGGTTGGTGGCCTGATGCTTTTACTGCTTTTTTTTTTTTTCTAAAAGAAAAAAGGTTGTGATTGGATGCCAAGTAAGATTGATTTTGAAAAATTAAGAAATATAATGTTTAACCTCCTTGGATAGTACTTTTACATGGAACAATTTTGTTTGAATTAGTCTTACATTGTAACCATTTGCCAATATTCAATCGGATATGGTTTTAAAATCCTGTAAGAGTTTGCCCTTGCTGCCAGCACACGCTGAACTTGTGTTGGAAGTTTGAAGGTGAAGAGAGTAGAGAAAATGGGTGGAAAAGTGAGGAGAGTCGAGTAAACAACTCTTTCCTACCTTGTTTCGGAGTGAATTTGAGGGAAGGGTAAAGTGGCAAGTTTATAGGCTATTGTTACCTTTTTAACTCTTTCGAAAGTCATTACTAAATTAACCTTTAAGGAGGTGGGGGGGGGGGAGTTAAAAAGGGATCCCAACCTGAAATGATTCATTTGAACTACTTAATCTCAGTCCTGTCAGTTTGAGGGACTTTATCAAGTGGGATTTTCAGGGATTTGGTTGCCTCAAGAACTGCCTTACTTTCTTTTAAAAGATAAACTTCCCTAAAAAGGAAGATAAACCCATTATCCCCTTTTACGTTAATCTCTTCTACTTCCCTCCATCCAAACACACTGTAAATTGCCACCTATCACGATTCTACTTTCTTCTTGTATGCTGGCAATCTCACCCTTCACCACTGGCCACTAGAATAGAGTTTTTTTAAAGGACCTGAAACTGACAAATGACAACTGTAGATAAGAGGGGAGGACACTGGTCATTAGCAAACCAGAAGAGTAGCCAGCACATGAAATGGGCAACACAGCTTCTTATGTGACTGTGATGTATATTGGCAGTTGTGTTATTGGCTAGGAGGTTTGAACATAAGTTCACAAATATTTTTTTAATGAAGTTACGTTTTCGAACCACATGTTGGATCTCAAAGTTTCTGTCTTAGCTTGAGATAATTATGTAGTGTGTAGATGTGAACTCTAGAAATATCAATTACAGTTTACGACTTTGTATGTGAGTTTTTTTATTATTTGTTTTAATGGCGTTTTCATGTTCATTAAAGTTCTCGGAATTGGACTTTTAAGTGTTGTTCTATTTATTGTTACTCTTTTTCTGCTTGTTTGACGACTAGTGTACTGCTTCCAGGAATTGGTTACTTAGAGGCCAAAAAAATATATGATATTCTTCTTAATTCGACTCCAGAAAGCCGGAACATATTTGGCCGGCTAGCAGGTGCTGCTGTAAGACAATAACTCTCTCTCTCTCTCTCTCTCTCTCTCTCTTGCATGTGCATGTGTACTTACTCCAAGACTCAAACACTAGCATGTGCACCAATGTAGTCAATCACTGGTATTTTTCAATAAATATTATATATGTATTAATCCTTTGACAGGGATCTTGGGAAGCAATTGTGCATTCTTTTGAAAAAGATCATCTTTTTCTTGGTGAGGCTGCTCAAATAATTATTCAAAATGTAAATTATGAAATGTAAGTGTGGATTTTCTTTGTTTTAAACTTCTTTTGAATGAATAACACACGCAAGTATTGATTTATTGTCAATTTGATTCACTTTTTGATCATTTTCTTTTAAAATGTAAAGCCCATATCAGAAAAAACAGGTGCAAAAGATTCAGCAGCAATTAGCTGAACTTGAGCGGAAGGAAGCTGATATAAAAAGAAGTGCAGCTTTGTCAGCTGCTAAATATGCTGAGGCTTGCCAAGAGCTTGGTTTGCAGGTTATGATAGTACTTATATTGGTGGTAGCCAACTTGGTCTGATTTGTATTCCTTCTTCCGATCAATGCATTAACTTGGCAATCATTGCACATTACAGGGTAAAAATGTCAGGCTTGAACTCTTAGAGACTGCAAATTCACTTCCAAGCACATTTGGCAGGATTTTAGAAGTCATTGATGGTGATTCTGTTTCACGGGCAATCGAATATTATTCTAATTTTGTCAGAGATGCTCATACAGAGAAGGATGTAAGACAATAATTGAAATCTGATAATGCTCCTGATTATTGCTGTTAGCACTCGCCAAAGTTTTAGCTTAATTTTTTTATCTGGGTTGTAAGTTATATAATGTAGCTGCTGACAATAATGATTTGCAGAAATCTCAATTTCCTGTCTTGCTGAACTTGAAAGACATTCGTGAAAATCCTCCATCTTTGAATGTTTCTGCAGCTTCTGAGATCCTTGATTTAGAAAATACTCAATTAAGATCTAATGAAATAAACCATGTGAGGGGAGACATAGATGTCAACGCTGATACTATTGATTGGGATATCTCTGTTGACAATGCTCAGATTGATTGGGATATTGGTACTTTGGAAGAAACAGATGATTCTGGTAATGGTTTGGGTCCATATGAAATTGTTAATGCCAGTGAGATCTTGCAGAATTCTACACCAAATGAAGCTGCAGAATCTGATAAAACCCCATTACACAAAACAGAAGACAAACCACTTCCTGAAATTTCTGTGTCAGATATATCCTGGGATATTAGTGTTGAAACACCACAAGTTGATAAGATTGATGATGTCAGCTTACCAAACATACAATTGGAAAATCAGACATATGCTCCAGATACCTTACCTGATACCCCAGGAATCCGGGAGGAGAGGAGCCAACTTTTGGAGACAGAGTACAGAAATAAGATTCTGGATGATTTGTATGAGGTACATGCTAATTAATCTTATTGCAATATCTGATTGGCTAATATTACCGTAATATTTCTTTTCATTTTTGCAAATATCTCATTTGGAGAAAAGGTTTCATTGTAGCAAACTCTATGTAATTTGGGATTGATGTGTAATAACTTTTTGTTTGCAACACCATTTTATCTTCTGTATGAACAAAATAAGAGAAGTAAAACAGCATCGAAACTGCCCCAGGCATACTTGTTGCTATGGTGTAACTATTTCTGTCATTAGATCAAAGCATATTTCAAGTTCAAGGCATCATGTCTGGTTTAATGCTGTGTTATCAGATGAAAGCATTTTTGAACCAGCGATTGGTGGAGTTGAGGAATGAAGACACTTTGTCATTGCAAAATCAAGTCCAAGCAGTTGCTCCCTTGGTGCTACAGCAGTATACACCCGATGCCATCGAGACAATGATATCTGATGTTTCATTGGCAGTTTCGCTGCTGACAAATAGAAAAACACGAGATTTAATCATGATTCTCAACTCTAAACGGTGCAAATCAATAACTTAATTT